CCAAATTTTATTAGGAAATTGGAATTTTAGTTGAATTTGGCCTTGAATTGATTGAAATTGCATTGGGGCTAGAGGTTCAATTGAAAATGGGAGTTTGGATAAGTCAATGGATGAATTTGGGATTATTCGAATCATTTTCGCTAGTCTGCCACTAGTTGGCCACTCGAACGAGGCATTCGAATTTTCTGGCGCTAGCCCAGAGCTCAAGCGTCGGAGTTGTCGCTTGCCTATCGTTCGTTTCGCATTTTGACGCCTTTTCTGGACTACTATTCATCTACAAATTGGAGGCATACACACACACACACACGTGCGCGCGCGCGATTCATATAACATGTTGAGAGTATCAAGATCTTGTTGTAAACATAATTACTATTGATTATAATGAACTTTTCCTCACCTGCCTATAGTTTTTTCGCATATTGGGTTTCCACATAAATTTTGATGTTTTTATTTTATTCTTATTTATTTCATTATTATCATTATCTTACGATCAATTCATAACAGTTTGAATATGAGTGGTGGCTATGTGGTATTGGTAATAAAGATGGGGTGGATATTGAGGAAGAGTAGCAGGAAATGACAGCAATGGTGGCCATCGACGACGACATTCTATTGTTGCTCCGTCGAAGTTGCAAATAAAATGAACTCACTGTTACTACGTTCCAAAGACATGTAAGTGGGATTGCGCTATTTAATTAAATAATTTATGACTTAATATGTGATTGTGGTTGTGACTGCCATATATTGTATGTTCATTGTGATCATGACATGTTAACTTAAATTATTGGTCAATACATTTTATTAGAAGTAAAAAAATGTGATCACCTAATTTTTAAAATTTTTTCACGAGGTTTTTTATTTTTAAAATTATTTTAAAACATTTAGTTATGAATTAGAAAATATTATGTGTGTGTGTGTGGGCTTTTATTGGGCCTTAGATATATGGCTCTTTGTTTTACTTGGTGTAATCCATTCAATTGTGTTTGTTGCGGTTTGATCTATAGATAGATCACTATCTCGTACAGGCAAGACCATGCAAGGTCAAGATCACAGCCTTCTATTTCTTGATAAGATTGAGATAATTTGTTACAGCCATAAGTTGATTTCTAGGTAAGATAATGGTTCCAGCTTTTGGTAAGTGAAAGTTGGCCCAATATGTCAAGGGTATGGATCGAGAAACTTGTACAAAACAACATTTTTAGTATTTAATTTTGGAAAAAATTCATAAATAAGGTGTATACTTTACATCAATTCAAAAATCAGGTTTATAGTTTGAAAATTCAAAAATCAGGTTTTTTTTTAATGAAATAATAAATTATTAAATCAATTTATTATTAAATATTTAATTCTAATATAATATAATTAACTCATCTCACATGCACCACACATACCATTCCGGGGACTATTCCGGCGACCATTTCTACTACCACCCTTCTCCAGTGAACGTTTCGGCAACTGCTCCGATTCCGACAATTATTCCGACGACTATTCCGGTGACCATTCTGGTCACAGATTTACAATTTAAGGTCACAGTTCAAAAATTTTATAAGTCACAATTAATTCGTTGGTCACATATTTTAAAACTAGTTGGTCACAGATCAAAATTTATAGGTCACACAATCACAGATTTCCAATTTAATTGGTCACAGATTTTTTTACGGTCACATATTATATAATTTTTAGGTTACAGATAAAAAAAAATGGTTAAAAATTTCATTTGTCACATATTTTCAAATTTGTTGGTCACGGATTATTTTTTATTCACATATTGGTCACAGTTAAATACTTGATACAGATAACCAAATATTTGGTCACATACCACTTGCACTATCTCTTCAGCCACTGGCACCCCGTCGCCGCCATTAACATCACGGCTGCCAACATCACCACCAACAAACCCACCACCACCGCCTGACAGATCCAACAAATTTCTCCACCGCCAGAAACCACCACAGCCACCAGACAGATTCAACAAACCTCGTCAGATCTACCAATACCACACCACACCACAACCCTGCCACCACTAAATCCACCCCCAACATCACCACTATCACGGCGTAGCTCCATTGAACTACCACTACATAGCACCACATCAAAAAAAAAAAGAACGATAGCGCCGACAGACAGCAGCGTCGCCGGACGCTGCCGTTCACAGCGAAGCTCAGAGATCCGTTGCCATGTGCGATCCGTTGCACAACGAAGCTTAGAGATGAAGCGGCGCTTGCCGCTGTACAGGCAATGGAGATGAAGCGCCACTGCATATCGAAGCGCCGCTGCACAGCGACGAGTTCCACCGTGGTCTTCAATGATGAGGCGGTGCTACGGAGAGGGGAGAGAGAGAGGCGGAGAGAGGTGGGGGGGAAGTGAAGCGAGAGAGAAAGAGAGAGAGGCGGGGGAAGGGAAGTGAAGTGAGAGAGATAGAGGGGTGAGGGAGTTGATAGTGATGAATTAGGGTTAGAGTTTTGATATATTATCTGAATTTTGAAAAAATAAAATTTGGACCTAATTTTTAAAAAACTGTCTTATAACCCCTGATTTTTTATAATTTCCCTTTAATTTTTTGGCTTAGAGTGAAATATAAGGTCCTAAATATAAAAGCTAAAGATTGCAGTAGATAAAGTCACTTGGTCTACAATATTTGGGGTTCGACTAAAGGATTTATTTTCATAGAGTCAACTACCAAAGTCATTCAAAACAATATTGATTTACATGTTTTCCTCAATCATATTGCATTTCGGTTTGGGACCATTTACCGAAAGAGATTGTCAACAATAGTGTGAATTTGGCCATATTTTAGCAAGATTTTGACCTTTTATTTAGATGGCAACTCTACAATACACTTTTGAATTCATAATAATAATGTTCTCGCGTCTTATTCACAAGGAAGACATTTTTTCCCATCAGTCTATTCCTAATCTTGTCTTATAATTAAAAAAAAAATCGAATCGATTAATAGATTTGTTTAAACTTATATTCCCAATCAATTCACATTTTAGCACATGCATGTCAAAGAAATTTTTCAACTTAATTAAGACAATTTTGCTACATATACATTTTAGTTGATATTCTACTTTATATTGTACTATGTGACACAATTTTATCGTTGATTTCTCTAACACTTAAAATAATCGATGATTTCGATTTTATCATCTATTCAAATTTCATCTAAAGTGTAGGAAAATAATGTACAATGAACATAATTGTAGTTAAGAACCCTACAAGTGAGATGGTACACATCGGATCCCATCAACTTTGGTATGACAGTGGACGTGTGGTTACACAACATTAAAATGCAACTACAAATGCATCCAACTAAATTCAAAGATACAAAGGTTTCGTTCTTTAAAATTCTTTTTTAATGAAATATATTTATTCGTAAATTTTAAATTTTTTCCTACTTTTTAATTATATATTCTCTCAAAAATACAAATTTCATAAAATTTATTTAGAAAATAGGCTCAAATAGGAGCTAAACTTTAGAATTAATTCATAGACAATGAAAATTTAAAACAAAAATAAATTCCAAGGGACAAAATCGCTCTCACTTCTAAGAGACAAATCCTAATGCAGGTCTATGTTGAAATTTGGCACCCCTTATTTTCGTCCTTTTTAAAGGAAATTAACCCTTGAAAACGACTATTCATTTGAAATTTGAAGGACTCCTTTCGACCTTTTGTGCATTGTTCATTCCACCGTTTTAAATGTTCAATAAGCAAGTTACTTATTTATCGATATTTTCAATTTTGAAGAATTTTTAGAAGAACGTTCTTGAACCATGCATCAGCGATCAAGAAGGAAATTTTTTGACCAGTGATCCGATGTTATTTACAAGGTCGATGAAAGTCATTGATGAAAAATCCATACGTGATTACAAGGGAGATTGTCGCAGATCTATAGATGAAAAAGTCATCACCAACGTTAATTGTGTTTTATTCATCAAAACTTATGATATATTAAGTCCTTCGTAAGAAACAATTTTCTTACATTCTAACATTACCCAAAAATTAATAGCAAGGTCCAATGAAACAAAATTAAAGAAAATAATAAACTCAAAGGCTCTTAATTAAAGGAAGATCAGTCTTTATTTTCTCTTTTTCTTCCACAATTTGATCCGTATCATAATAAAGGAAGAAAATCATGGTACAAACTCATGCCAACACTACTTAAAGCTACTCCCCCACCAAATTAAAGTAGTGTATAAATTGAGCATCCAAGGAGGAAAAAATCAGTTTCTTTGCTACCCACAACACACACCAAGAGATCACCTTTGGATATGAAAACGTGGGAGTGATAAAAAGGATTGTTTCATTCAACCCCACCTATGATATATTTAATAATCTTGAGAATGTAGGAAGAAAAATCGAGATAGTTTTGAATTTATAAGGGGATTAAATTACTCTAATATAGGTTATAAACTCATGAAACTTCAAGTCTTAACAAATTGTAACAGTATTGTATTCCACACTTAGTCATGTAGACTTCAGTATGAATCGTTTCTTGAAGTCACGAAATCAATGGCCCATTAGAGAAAAATCGTGGTTACCTCTCAAGACAGGTTGTATTCGTGTAAAATAGTGGCCTTTAACGTAGTGGAAGAGAGAAACGAAATCTTATATGGTATTTAGTTACAGATGATTAGTGAAAAAGTGAGCATAAAAGATCGAATTAACATTTATTTATATATTTATCCTCGATTGTGTCTAGTTGTAACATATCAAGTATATCATTAAAGTACAAGTATCAAAAGCAAAAATTCATAACTTGTAAGTTCTTCCAATTAAAGAAAAGAAAAAGAATAATCAAAATGAGAGGAAAAAAGAGTAAATATACCTTAGTCATATATACAATATAGTATTCTTGATTACTATAAAATGAACCTATCTACCATTATTCCAAGTCATATCAAATTATATTCCTCATTCTCTCTACAATATCAGAAAACTTTCCATTCTATTGTTGATTTCTAACTATTCAATTCTTGATCATCTATACCTCAAACCATGCCTATCAAAGAACTCTCAGACCCTAACAAAATGTACAACAAACCATTCCATTGGAGGAATGTCTCCGGCGAGCTTGACGTTTTCGAGGCGACCCGATATTTTTCCGGTGGTGGTGCTGATGAGGTTCCGGGCAGTGGCGCAACCTTGACACAAAAGGTGACCGTCCCGAAAACTGCTCGAAAGAGCCTAGACATGCCTACCACAAGAACTTTAATTCCATCACAAATTTATGTTATGGAAAAGAAAATCTTGAAAGAGAAGAAAAACAAGCAGGCTAGTTCTCCAGGTGGTAGACTTGCACACTTCTTGAATTCCCTATTCAAACAGGCTTCATTAAAGAAGAATAAATCGAAAACCGGAGCGAAAACGACAAAGGATGAAGAAGAAAGCCCTGGTGGAAGAAGGAAAAGAAGAAGCAGCATTAGCCATTTTAGAATAGCAAGCAGTACTACAGATTCTAAGTCCTTTTATTCATCCATAAGTTCAGGTTTTAGAACACCTCCTCCTCATGCAAATACTCCTACTAAATCTTATAAAGATGTCCGAAACTTTTCAGATTCTAAGAAAACTATTTCTGTGCAAAAATTCAATGAAAATGTCAAAAGAGATTATTCTTCTTCATGGCTGGATGAGAAATTAAAGTTCAACAACGGATATCCTGAGAAAAACTGGCCTGATAAGTATCCATCAGAAGAAAACGAATTCAGAAAATTCAGTGATGTTGATGATGGAGCAGATAGTGATTCTAGTTCGGACCTGTTTGATTTACCAAATCATGAGTTGGAATTTTACTCAAGTGATCTACCTGTTTATGAAACCACCCATATTGACAGCATCAAGAGAGCTGCACCATTTTCTAGCACTGGCAAAGTATAATTCCACTCTTTCGGTAGGGAGGGCTCGCCCTGTCGGCACTGTTAAAGAAGGAAAAAAGTTAAAGTTTTGTCATGGTTGACTCCAGTCTGGTCTCAGTAACCGATTATATGGATTGTACAATATGAATAAAATTTTACAGCTTTTTTCCTTATTTACTATCGAGTACTCCGTAGTCTACTTTATCATACATGTCCTCGATGGTGTAGATTTGTTTTGTTCTTGCTAATGCTTGGGATTGCAAGAAATTTGGTGCTGTAGATTCTGCTTTCTTTTCAATATCCAAAAATTACAACTTTTTACTTTATGTACAGTACTTAAGAATGTTTGCTTGTTTCTTCTTTTCTTTTGGAGATGTACCATTGAGTGCAAGAATATGATATAGTGTACCACTACACAAGTTTGATATAATTGTCCATAATTAGAAATCATCTAAATTTGTTAATGGAGAAGAAAAAAAATCATCACACCCATGTTATCTTTTGACTCTGGGCATAAGCAATGATATAGATTTGTAGATAATTGTGTTTTATAAAGTTGGATTGGATGAGAGTAGACGTGGCAAATTGGCAATATATAAACATTTTATAAATATTTCCTTTTACAATGTTGTTCAATTCATTAGATCGGACATCCGTTTGAGGATCTAGTTAATAAAAAACGGATCACATTCACAAACTAATTCTTGATTGAAAGGCTATATAGCTTATCTCATATTGTCCGATGTCCAATTCTAGTTAAACTCAATTTTTACAAATCAAGAAGTACGAGTATAATATGGTGGAATGTTAATACTAACGTAAACACCGACTGAGCCAGAATATTTTATTTAAGTGTGCAAAAATTATATAGGAATGAAAATATTTCCAAAACCATGCAGTCCAAGTTTTATTTTGTCCATTCTGGGACACCGGATAAAATCGAAACAATATGGTGAGGATTTGCGTGACCCTTGCGAAGATGACGCGACGCGTCCGAAATAATAACAAAGAAATGAGCTACTATTCAACTAATACTTTCACATTTATGCATGCCAAAATATGTACATTAACACAGCACAACTATGCTGTAATATGAGAGTGACTACAATTGAAAATTGTGAAGAAAATAGTTAATTAGAAGTTTTGCACTCAAGAAGTAGCTGGCAGATTTGCCTGACATCCATAGAAGGATCAATAACGACAGACTTCGTGAAGGAAGTGAAGCTTTTCCCTAAAACTCTTAGCTTAGGCGATCTATTTTAATCTACAGTATAAAATAATGTGGCATGCAAAAAGCAATGTTGAATAGATGGTTAAAGTACTCTAGTTTTAGCCTTTGTGTACTTTTCCTGTCTCTATGTAAAAAAAGTCTATGATGACGTATCTGTAAAGAAAAATGAGAGAGATTGAATTCATTCTTCCTCTCTAACTGGTTTCATCTCTCTGTCCTGTTTTTCATTTTCTCTGTTCTTCAAGTTGACCGTTGATTTTGCTCTATTTCTTGGAGTTTTTATTACAGATTTTCTAAGCTCATCCATTGGCAAAAGCTACGTTGTCTTTATCATTTTCAAATCGTTTTTTATTTTCGATTTTTTAAAATAGTGAAAACACGTTCTATTTTCTATTTTCGAAAACGCATTTTTAAAAACATGTTAAAAATTTACAAAGAAAACCCAAAAAGACAAATTTGTCGTTTTGGTGTTTTCAGTTATAATCAAACCAAAATTTTCAAAATACATTTTGGATGTTTTCAAAACAATTTTTCAAAATACTAAAAAGAATACATTTTCAATAATCTCAAAATAGACACTCAAAACACAAAATTCAAAATGAATTCAAAACTCAAAATACAAAACTGAAATAAAAAGAGAACACACCCTAACACTTTGAAGTAATGTTCTTGATTCGAGTAGCCCCTCCGATGTACTTTCCACATTCACTTCTTCACTTGCCATAAGAGATGCCAATAATTTGGCACCCGCCATTTTTTCTTGTCAGCAACAAATCACTTCGTGAAGTAAAATCCCCGGGAAACTTGACAGATAGAAATTTGAGGTTTTCATCTTTGCAATTGTTAAATAAGGCATATTACGCAACAAAACGTTAGAAAGTGAAAGTGAAAGTGAAATCAGTATCTAATTAGGCACAAATCAAGAATTAACAAAACAAAAACTTGCAAGCGCTAAGAAAATAAGTAGACGAGCTCGTCAAAGTAGTTAACTAAAGAGAGCAGTTCAAAAGGAGAATGAAGCAGCAAAAAACTTCAATATGACTACTACAAAGAATCACATCAAAGAACTCCCAAACTCCCATCTAGCAGTATCTTGTTTCATTAAACACACGTCAAAGATGTAGTTGAGTGATGGGTTTGTATGAAGGAAAAACCAAGTTCAAAAAGCTAAAGTGCATGTCAACTTGGCTTGTATAAATGAATTTTCAGATTAACAAAGAATCACATATTATTGACTTACAAGTCGGGATTTGCTATGTTATGCGTTTTCTGAAACACGTAATGTGCAACTTACTTAGCATTAACAAAATCAATTTTTTAGAGTGATGAAACAAGCATCAACTTCAACAACCCTATGCAGGGGCGGACCCAGATAAATTTTTGAGTGGGGGCGGAGCCAGCTCGTCGAAGTAGGAGGGGTCCAAAGTTGAAGGGGTGGCGGCTTACGGGGGTTCAGGGGCAGAGCCCCCGAAATTTTTTTTTCGGAGTTGTTGAATAGTTTAGATTTAGCTGCATTTTCCCAACTAGTTCATGCTATATAGGCCATGAACGAAACCTCTCACCCTGCATCAAACCCACAAATATATTCACTCTGACCATGCAATAGTTTTTGCAATCATAGGTGGTCAAAATGAGATTTACATAACATACCAATTCTTCAGCAATATTAGCCACCTGAACTACTACGTGGCCAAAATACTTTCCTTTCGAATCGTGGACTTCAATTGTCAAATCATTTCTAAACCCTTCTAACAAGCTATATTCAAGTGGGAAGGAAATTTAACCATCCAACTCTATAAGATTGAAGAATATGTAACAAGATTAAAGAGAAAAAGATTACATACAAAACATGAGTTTCACCAGATGCTGGCTGCATTCGAGATAGAAAATAAGTTAAAAAAACTGTAAAAAAAAATGAAAAAAAATTTTTTTTTTTTTGGTTTTTTTTTTTCAGTGGGGGCGGCCGCCCCCGCTGGGCCCTTCGTGGGTCCGCCCCTGACCCTATGCAAGGCAATGTGACAGGAAAGGGACAAAAAATATTAGAAATTTCGGGTGGTCCACTGACCACCCTTGCGCATGTGTGGCTCCGCCCCTCAATGTGAAAGAAATTTATATCTTGTTCTCCAGTTGACACATTTCGATTCTCAATCTCGTTCTACGAAAATCTTATGATCTTTTGAAGGAATATAGGCTACAATCATACTACATGTACATCACTTTTTACATCCTGCCACATGCAACACGCTTTTAGACAATTTTAAAAAATAAATAATTTTTCACCAATTAAATCATGCCAACTTAAATGCTATCAAGAATGATGTACACTTTTGATATACAAATGGTTTAACTCATAGAGGCTAACCTAGGAGAATTTCATCTGTAACTAACTTTGAGAAGTTTACTTAACATAACCTTGTATGGAACTCATCCTCGAGTTATTTATTTATTATTATTTTTTTTTTTTCATGAATGGGAAACTCAAAATGCTCTACAAAATTCAAGTTAACCTAGAGAAAAAAATGTTTTTGTTTGATAGAGGATTCACGTAAAAGACAACATTGTGAGCCTTTATTTGGTGGATTTTGATTTAAGTCAATCAATAATTTACTTCAATCACATATTTTATGGGTTCTATAACTTTTTAATCACATCACATCAAACTTTATCAAAATTTATTAAAAATATAATTTTTATCTCTATCTAAAAATATAAGTAATTTTTTTTTTGGAAACCCGAAACATTGCCAGTGTATTATTTTAAGTCAATTTAATAAATTGACCAAAAGGATTTATTTAAAATCATGAGAAGAAACAAACTTGTGAGATTAGGCTATCCAAACAAGGGATAATTGCAACAGCGGTTCCAAACCTTTAGATTTTTCACAGACTTTATCTTAACTTTCATTTTGTGCCACTCACAATTCCAAACCTTTCAAAAATTAGCACATTAAGTTCAAATTGATAATTTTTGTTAGTTTAACCGTTAGTTGACCCAATAAATTGATTTTGGCCATATTTAAAGGGGGAAAATGGTAACTTCAAATTAAAATTTAATAACTAAAAATCAAAACCCAATCACTATTCGTCTTCTCCTTCACACACCCACCCTCACACCTCGACCATCTCCTAAACCCAAAAACCATCAGGCAACCACCGCCACCTCCACCAGCCTACCCCTGAAAGTCAGCACCACCCAATGCCAGCAACATTCATGTGATTTTCTATAAATCCGGCTCCCGTCGCCGCTGCAAGAAACCAAGAGCCATAGAAGAACAAAACATAAGTCCACCATCATCGACCACCCATCCCATCCCGTGTTGAAGATCGCCATCCCCCCACCCTCCTTCACAAAAACCAAACTGACTATCAACCGCCACCTAACCGATACGCACTCTAACTAGGTTTCTTGTGTCTGATTTTCTCCCAATACGCTTCATCCGATTATAGGTTCTAGGTCGTGGGACAAGACAATGAAAATCTAGAATTTGAGTAATTGAAAGTTGAGATCCACCTTGGCTGGATATACCAGGTCGGTTAATACGATGGCTATTTTGCCTAATATGTCCTTATGCGCGAGTGGTGGGAAAGATGGGTCGTGCTGCTACTAAGGCCAGCATTAAGATTTGGGGCTTAAGTTTGTTGCCGTGTGAAGAAGAGGATGAAAAAATTAGGGAGAAGATGTTGGCGGGAACAGTGGCAAAGTCGGTGGAGGAGGCGGCGAAGGTGGTGGTGGGGAGGGGTAAAACGAAACCCAATTGGTTTTGGGTGTCGGAGAAGGTGGGGAAGGGGAAA